TGAAACACTTCCCACATGCAGTGCAGTGATACGGTTTCTCTCCAGTGTGAATCCTCTCGTGTGTTTTCAGACTTGCTGACTGACTGAATCTCTTGTCACAGTGTGAACACTTGTAAGGTTTCTCTCCAGTGTGAATCCTCTCATGCTGTTTTAAACAGTTCGCTGAAGTAAAAGTATTTTCACACTAAAAGCACATGTACTCTCTCACAGCAGTATGTATTTTTCTGGTGTTCTTTTAAATATTGTAAACATGAAAAACTCTTTCCACACAAATAACATGAATGCCGCTTCTCTCCAGTGTGGATCTTCATGTGATCCTTAAGAGTTGATGATCGTGTGAATCTCTTAGTTCTTGATACAGTGATGACACAGCTGACACATCGATTTGAACAGGAGGGTCTGCGCAACATTGTCATGCTTGAAAATGTCCTAATCTCTGGACAAGTCAACGACATTGTTGAACTGTACCCAGAGCTGGAATCCCAGTCCCTAAAGGTGCAGATGGCCATGTTTCGTGCAAATTATAAATACCAAAGTTGTACAGAAGTGGTCAATATTTTGAAGAACATGGTACCTGAGGTCCGTGGACTCTTCAAGCAAGTGGAGACTCTGGTCCGCTTACTTCTTGTGGTTCCTGCATCATCAGCTGAGGCAGCGAGAAGCTTCAGCGCTCTCCGGCGCCTGAAGACATGGCTTCGCTCCACAATGTCCCAGAACCGTCTGAACAGCGTTGTTGTCTGTCATGTTCACAAATACAGAACAAATAAATCAGACACAAAAAAAATAAGCCAGGAATTCATTAAGGTCTCAGAGAGGCGTGCTCAGGTTTTTGGTTCATTTTAGTGGACAAAACTAACTAAACCTAAAAAGAAGCTACTCTGACACTCTGCTTCTTTTCTTGTTTTTTTTATACATCCATTACAATATTCTTTTTATTTCTTATTACAGTTCATTCTAAGGTGTTCATAAACATATTGATGTTATTTATTGTTAATAAACAAGATTACTGTTGACCTCTACCAAAAGCATCTATCTTTGTTGCTCAATATTTTGTTATACTAAGTATTTTAAGCATTTAATTAAAAATATATAGTATGACAAAATATTCAGATGCTTTTGGTAGAGGTCAACAGTAATCTTGTATATTAACAATAAACAATAACATCAATATGTTTATGAACACCTTAGAATGAACTGTAATAAGAAATAAAAAGAATATTGTAATGGATGTATAAAAAAAACAAGAAAAGAAGCAGAGTGTCAGAGTAGCTTCTTTTTAGGTTTAGTTAGCTTTGTCCACTAAAATGAACCAAAAACCTGAGCACGCCTCTCTGAGACCTTAATGAATTCCTGGCTTATTTCTTTGGTGTCTAATTTATTTGTTCTGTCTTTGTGAACATGACAGACAACAACGCTGTTAAGACGGTTCTGGGACATTGTGGAGCGAAGCCATGTCTTCAGGCGCCGGAGAGCGCTGAAGCTTCTCGCTGCCTCAGCTGATGATGCAGGAACCACAAGAAGTAAGCGGACCAGAGTCTCCACTTGCTTGAAGAGTCCACGGACCTCAGGTACCATGTTCTTCAAAATATTGACCACTTCTGTACAACTTTGGTATTTATAATTTGCACGAAACATGGCCATCTGCACCTTTAGGGACTGGGATTCCAGCTCTGGGTACAGTTCAACAATGTCGTTGACTTGTCCAGAGATTAGGACATTTTCAAGCATGACAATGTTGCGCAGACCCTCCTGTTCAAATCGATGTGTCAGCTGTGTCATCACTGTATCAAGAACTAGGAAGAACTGCACACGATAGTACTCCTCAGCTGTAGTCGGAATGTAGGGCTGAGCTGGGCCAGCATGTCTTGTAGAAGGCCTTCTTAAATGTGGTACTGTTATTGCCTCAAGGTCCAGTGATGTTACCACCTCAGATGCCTGTATGTAGAGCTCTCTGAAACTTACATCTGATCTTTTGTTCTGAAAGCCATTTTTGACACACTCAACTGCACTTAGCATGCCTCCGACTGTTGCTCCTCTCCCTTGCAGTGAGGTGTTCAGGCCTTCAAGGCCTATCATGATGTCCTGTGTCAACAGCAGTCCAAGGACAGTGTTTCCTTTCTGGAAACGCTCACGAAGGCCATTGGCTTTGGAGGCAGTGTCATGTGTGCTGGATGATGCCATTTTCTCCAGTGCTGTCAAGACAGCTTCATATTGGGTGAGGACAGAATTGATGGCTGGTGTACGCACTGTCCATCTAGTTGGACACAAGGGTTTCAGTGTTGTATAGCAGCCAGATGTAGATTTTGCCACAGACTTAAAAATTGTTTTAAATTTGCCTGACTGGCCAAATAAACAGCCCAGCTCATGGATCCATTGCAGAGAATCCCGAATTATTGGTGCGGCTGAACAGGCTGCTTGTGTGACCAAGTTCACACAGTGGGGGCCACAATGAACAAAGGTAGCAAGCGGTTGCCCAGACATGTTGGCTGCTCCATCGTAGGTTTGACCACGCAGACTGGAAAAGGGAAGGTTTAGACGGAGGAGGACATCAGAAGCAATCTTGCCTATTTGCTCACCAGTTGTGGAAGAAGCTTCATAAAGGCCAACAAACTCCTCTCTTGGTTCCAGGTCTGTGTTAACATAATGTATGCAGATAGACACTTTCTCAACACCACTGATGTCCTGCGTCCCATCCATTATTATTGAATATTGCACGACTGGTAAAGCAGCAATTTCCTGTGCAATTTTGCGAATTATGCTGTTGCTCAATAAATTCATTATTTAATTTTGAATCACAGGGCTTGTGTAGCAGTGATTTCGTTTGAGCCAGCTTGCCAGACAAGGAACACTCTCTGTCATGAAGAGGAGAAGCTGGTGGAAATGTCCTTCCTCTTGGTTGTGTCCCCTCAGAGGCAAGCCTTGTTGGGTCAGGTATTTAATAGCAATCACTACCTTTAACAAATTTAAACTTGCCTCCTCTTGTGCTGTTTTTGAAATGTTGGACAGTTGCACTTTTATCGACCTTTCTGAGTGTATGAATGTGTTCACTGCAATGTTGTGTGCTTTGCTGTTCGTATGCTTCTCAAAGGCTTGTGGACCATGTTTCCAGTTACGGAAGCCTTGAGCAATGAATGCTTGCTCTGCATTTTTGGCCAATGCGGACGTCTGTTTGGAGAAGGCATTAATGCAATAAAAACACAGTACTCCTTTAAGTTCAGAGCAGTAGTGCAGCCATGGGAAGCTTTTGAACCAGCTGTCCTGAAATCTAAGAGTTTTGTTTGTCAACTTCTGAACTTCAATGCGTTTAGAATCAGGCTGAAATGGTTCAGTTGTTGGGTATTTTTCAGGTGCCTGCTTTCCTGACTCTATTGAAGGAGTTGGCTGGATTGATTGCTGCGGCTCTGTGATCTCCACAGTCAAGTTTTGCCCTGCCTCTCCCAAGCTATCAGCTGCCTGCCTCTGAAAATAGTTCAAATTAACTTTTAGCAATTTTATATAAGCAATGATGAATGCCTATTTTGTAAATAGTTGTTGTATGTTAAATAGTTGAGTGTTATATAATTTTCTATAGCTTTAAAAAAAAAAGTTATACGGTAATATGCGATATGAATTTAATTTATGCATGACAAATTATAAACAATTATGTGAATGATCTTCGTTTGGAGTTGTGTAAATACTTTTAATATTATTTTAATTCATATGAACTATGTAAAATGTGTATTATAATAAAAATATAAAAAAATATGTACTGCAACATGAATTTTATTTATACATTTTATTTAAATTATGTATTGTAATTGTAGTCAACAATGTTAGTACTGTATTTTAGTCTTACCTCTACATTTTCTGCTCCCTGTTCTTGTTCTTTGTCAGTAGGCACATCTGTATGATTCTGGGACAAAATTGACAAGTTCAACCCAGGATCTAAATGTTTACATTTGCAAACATAAGCAATATATTGTCATTTGTCCATCATTGAAGGCTGAATGACAATTACAGCACTTTTAAACAACATCCCAATTCTATGTTATGACTGGGATTTTCAAAATTATAACAATTATAAAATTATATATAAAAAATTATACATGTCTTTAAGTCCGTAGTACATTCATTCAGTTTTGTATTAAATCACAGTGCTTCAGTGGCCGCCAAAAACATGATTAGCTACATTATGCCCATATTCACGTATGTTTAATTAAATATAATATGTTTAGTGTTAAGCAAAGATACTTACTGTGCGTGGCTGCTTTACTAAAAAAACTTCTTATGTACTTCCAGTTCCACACTTTCTCTTTGACATTTTGTTTAGGGTTTTAGCATTTATATTTACCGTTAACTAGCCTTTACATGTGGGGTGGGGGAGGTAAAATGGGGCTTAAAAAAACTTAAGAAAAAAAAGAATCGTTGCACACTTTCATTTCTTTCATTATTTATAAGATAGTTAAAACAATTTAAACACGAATAAACTTTCATTCATGTTTTACACAAAGTTTTGCGTAGTTCATGATTGGTTAAATTAATTGACTGGATGAGGAAAATTTTTGTGGGCGTTGTAGTTGTCAGACTTAATGACGTAATGTTCATTCTTCCATGTTCGGCATCACACCTGCAAGTTAGCAAGTTCTGGTATTAAGAGAAATTATGAAAGCAATTAGATGTAGAATTAATCTTAATACACACAAAAACTGTGGAATTAATGAATAGCTGCAGCTGAGCTGACTATGAAATGGTAAGTTCGCCATATTTATCTTGCGTATTTTGATTGGTATGATGACCCTAGATGTTGTGAATATTTTTATTTTGGTTATTCGGATGTTTATAGACAGATTTGTGATGCATGTGTACATCGATGTATTTTTGAAAAGTGAAAATTAAGTTTTTCCAACTCTAAACCCAGTCCCCAAGTAAATTAGGTTATTAAATAAAAAAACTAGCAAAACGAGTTGCGCGGTGTCCCCACCACTTTTCAAAGCAAAGTTACGCCACTGCTATGTAAAAAATAATAAGTAAACTGATTTTTTTGTTGATTTAGGCAAATCTGCTTCTTCCACACAGAAATGCAGGTTCAGTGAAGCTCCTCCCACAACAATCACACCTTCACCAATAAATGCTGTAATATTCCCATCAGTTCACAAGTGAAGACGAGCATCTAATCATCAGGAAGAGCTGAAATCTGCAAAGACTGAGTTTATTAAAGAGAGATCCAGAACCCTGCAGAATCAAACACACTGAAGATACTGAAGAACTAACAGGTTACAGATTATGTCATGATGTTCAGTGTCGTACTGAATATTCTCGTTAGTTATCTCATGTTAGCAGACAGATTACACTTTCACACGTGACCAACAATTACTCAACAAATATAAAATATCATAAATATGATCAAAATATTCATCTGAGGGAGGTGACAGACCTGACAGAGATGACACATCTGATGGTAGTGACACAAACCATCAATTACTGTATTAAAACAAAATACAACAAACAGTGAGTATGTTATTGTTTCTAAAGCTTTTAATCAAGATTCACATTTAAGTATTTTGATATATCGTTGGAACACAAATGATCTATTTTCTCTCGTCTCAGAACAGTATATGTCTGCTGTGCATCTGCTATTGTAACACAGTAACTTTTAAAAAAAATTATATGAACAAATAAATCAATTAGTTGTTACCTCTATCCATTTA